TGTCATTAATAGTACTCATGGTTTCTGTACAATAAGTTATAACACCGTTGTCATTAATAGTACTCATGGTTTTTGTACAACAACTTATAACACCGTTGTCATTAATAGTACTCATGGTTTTTGTACAACAACTTATAACACCGTTGTCATGAATAATACTCATGGTTTCTGTGTAACAAATTATTTATACCTTTTGGCCATATATATTGTGTCAGGCACTTGAATTTTAAGTACTCAGTTAATTTCACCTCAAAATGGGGCGCAGGTTCGCCCTGTGGTAAAGGCCTGCCGAACCGAGTTCAAATCCGTGCAACGCCACAGAATATTCTCCCTAACACACACACACACACACACTACTTTTAACTATGATTGCGTTATAGTACTAACAGTCAATCCCTCAACATGGCTGGTGGGTGGTAAAGTGCTGTTGACTGCCTACCTTCTCTCTTCAGTTCATTAGCTCATATATTCTTAGTAGTTTTGCCGTAAATACAAAAAACAGATTAATTTCAAAACCGTATACATATAATTAACAAGTTTTACCTCCGAAAAAGAAAGGTCCATCTTTCAAAAGCACTCGGGTCATAGGGTGTTTATCATTTTAAATCAAGACTTTTTGAACCTACGTGTTTTTCTGACATAATGAATAAGTTTATTAGATGGATGTATACCTCAAAACAGAAATAAAAACTATCAAAATGACGTTATGTGAAAGCATGTTAGCTTATAAATACTGTTAATATATATTATTGGATTATACTAAGCCTTAAGTAAGCACTGCCGCAACTCATATAAAAAGATATTTTAAAAACATACAGTTATTAAGATGAATCGGTTCTTGAAATCTGAGGTGCGTAAAAATATCATTTCAGGTCTTTTTTCTTTATTCTTCCACAAGTAAATGAATTGTAATTATTATCATTTTTATTTAAGTTTTTTAGAAATCAGAATTAAGGTAAAGATTAATAACGCATTATTATTCACTTATTTATTTCTAAGAACGATTATTTTCCCCGAAAGGGGGCCGAAGGCCGCCTGGAGAGGTCACCTGTTTTAAGCACTCGTACCACCATACAGTAGTGTATTGTCTGTCAGTCAGTTAGTAAACACTAAAATAACGTCATATAAGGGACTCTTAACGTTGCAGTTTGGGCTGTTGTGACGTCAGTAAAACGTGCGCATGCAATGAATCACGAGGATAATTATGCACTCTTTAGGCTACAACACAGCATGACATACGAACTTTAAAAGCAAGAAATAAAAATATTTGTTACTCTTAATTTTGGTTTTATTCACTATTGAAACAGAACACTTTCGGGGATTCTGTGAAAGTATATATAGTTATGAATATTTTATTTGAACGGATTTTAGAGTCACTGAGAAGAAATAGCGAACCAGTAAGCTAATCTCTTTTTCCTCCAGGACCAGGTGAACTGTTTGTAGTGTTGTTTGTGTATTAGCGGTATGTATATTCATCGCGTACCCTAATTTGTTTCAACTTTGACGATTGCTAATGACAAAATTTTATCACGTGCTTTGCATATCGTACTATTTAAAATGACCTAAATAACAAACTGGCGGATGTATAGGGTTAACGATCTTTTTCAAGATCGGATTTAAAAGAGTTGTAAACATCGAACAAAATGAATGTAC